TATCCAAGCATGTCCCTGGGCCAGGTACATCCCTAAGTCACTCTACACACCTACCCTCGTTGACTCCTCCGTGCAGCACTATTGGGCTGGGATAAATGAAGAGCAAAAAGTGCAGAAGAGAAAATCTCTACATGTAGTTGGAGAAGGCATGAAAAGCATGGAGGCAGGGAGGATGTGGAGTCACGGGAGGGGGCCTGGGACCCAAAGTCCCATGGACAGCAGCATGGCGGGGGCACACAGATGGACCCTGGCCCATTGGCCAGAGCTCTGCCCTGCCGCCCAGCCCTGGCCTCCGTCGGTGCCTGTCTGCAATGGAAGCAAGGGCCAGGTGAGGGCAGGCGAGGCAGGAAGCATTGAGAATTCCAAGCTCCCAGCCCGTGATGGATGATTCATCCGTCAGTCCTCATGTCACCTCCCATTTGTGCAGTTCTCATCTTTATTTCATGAATATTTTATTCTCAGAGCAATGGCTCCACATCCCCCATAAATCTAGTGGGAGGCTCTTTACTGCATCTGCAGGGCTTGCTGCACTCACCTGCACTGGGTAACTACAAAATCATCTCATCCCTTAGAAAATACGAGCTCGAGTCCACATGAATATTAAGGGCTTGAACGCACATTACTACTCTTCCTCAAGTAGGTGTCTAAACTGTGAAGACATCCCAGCGCAAGCCATTAAACACAACTTGGGCTCCACCTCAGGACAGGTTCCGGCTCTTAAGAAATATGGCCAATGCCCCAAAATGGAACATTTTAAGATTAACCAAACGTTCTCATCTAATTGCAAATCCTTTTTCATAAAACACGGGCAACCAGTAACATGAACTAATTCTAGATTAAATACCATCATTATTTTTTGGAGGTTTTTAAGGTATGTTTCTAAAATGCTGTTGTTTCAACCCCTTTCCTGGCTCCTATCCCCTACACAGTGATGTCCAAACTTCCTTTTCCAGCACCTCCTTCCTCACGCTGACTCTGCAGCCCCGGAGCTCTGGGGGGTGTGAGGACTTTCTTTGCCCCCATGCTCTTCGCCCTGTTCAAAATGCAACTCCCCATCTCATCTCCAGCTCCAGGATTTCTACCAATCCTTCAACATCAGTTCCAACAGCTCCAAGCCCCAAGAAGGCCTCACTAACCAGCACCTTGCCCCCTACAATGCCACCACTCCCTGGCCGGCTGCACGCCCCTGGGCACTTTCATGGTATCTGCTGCTCACTTCAGGACAGCCCCAATCAACCAGGTGGAGGCTGCTGGTCAACCTCTCTGTGCACCCGCCCATGAGGGCAGGGGCTGGGCCTCTGTGGGCATGCTTATTAAGAGAAGAACCAGGGGGAAGGAGGGACAAATTTTATTTGAAAATCGAGCACCCATCAAAACAGGAAAGGATGGAACATTCCCATGCAACCATTCTCAGCCACGATGGAGGGGCTGGAGGAAAGGCAGCCACTTTCTCATCCCATCCATCCTCAGTCCTGCAGGAAGCATGCTGGCAGCCGGGGCAGGAAGTACCACATTTTGAAGGCCACTGTATTCATCCTCTCAAACCTGAGATCCTGAACTTATGCAGAAAGGAAGATAAGATGCTTTACTGTCAAGAAAGCAGCTGGGTTATCCCTTGGTCTCCTGGTCTCTGTCTTTCCCTCTGCCTTCCTATCTCTGTCTCTCCAACAATCAATCTCTCTCTCTCTCTCTCTCT